ATATTCATTGTTCTTATCTACACATTTATATTTGTTTATATTTACATCTCTTTATTTAATGTTGTTCAGTTACTTTAAGTTTCATCAATAGTAAGTTAAACATTTCTTGTTCTGATTTCTATTTTTGAGCCAACTGTACATTTTATTCCATATTTCATAATATTCCGAATCCTCTCTCTCTTTCAACTCCATAGTCATTTTATCCATCTCTGCACATTCTAGAATTTTCCTAATTACTGTTTCATCTGAGGGTACATTTTTTTGTTTCCAATTTTTTGTGAATGTGATTCTTGCGGTAAGTATGTGCAATATAATGTATTGAAAGTTTTTGTTCATTTTTGGGTCCAGTATTCCTAATAAAAATAATTCAGGTTTCAAATCTATTTTTTGCTTTGTAATTTCTTCCAACCATTTTTGAATTTGACACCAATACTTCCTTGTGATGGGGCATGCCCACATGTGGTAGAATGTTCCGGATTTATGGTTGCATCTCCAACAATTGAGTGATAAATTGGGATACATCTTGGCCAATCTCACTGGTGGCAAATGCCACCTATAAAACATTTTATAGAGGTTTTCTTTGTAGGCAACTGCTGTTGTGAGTTTGTAGTTCCTTTCCCATAGTTTGTCCCACTGTTCTAATTCTATGCTGTGACCGAAATTCCTTCCCCAACTAATCATAGTTTCTTTTAAAACTTCCTCCTCCATTTTATATCTTAGTAGAAATTTATATAATTTTGTAATCATTTTTCCTTCTGTTCCTAATAAAATTTTATCCAACTCCAATTGTTTTTCATATATGCCAAATTGTTTTTGATCCTTTTTAGTCTTGTTTTGACAGTCGTGTTTCCAGTGTTTGCACTGATTTTAATTCTTTCTCGTATAAAATTTCTGAGTATCTTACCATTTTACTGAGATCTATTGTGTTTGGGTGTGTCATTGCCTCCATTGTCGATAGCCAATTTGGGATTTTCATATAGTGGTGTTTTTTAATCTTTAAATTTTTAATCAAGATTTGGTATATTTCAACGACACTCTACTCTCTGCCTAACTAAATTTTGTCTTTTGACTGGGATGAGTAACGAAACTTGTCAAGATTAACTAACTTTGATCTAGTTGCCATGACTTTAATCTTTTTTAGATGCTGAAGCACAGGTATGCAAGTTTCTCCCTATGCCTCTCTTTCCTGAAATGCTTACTGGTTTTCTCCCCCTTCTTCTCTAAAAGAGTTGTAGATGGAATTGAGGATGGGTCCAGTTCAGACAAACCTATTTTCAATTTTCGCCTTGGCCCATCTGGACCAGATTACAGCAGCCCTTCACCTGGTACAGGTAATATTCTGCATTATGTGGGGAAGGGGTCACGAAGGGGTTGATCAGAAACAAGAGCACTTGGAGGCTGAATTTGTGGCCTTCATCAGCTCGGTCCCTTTTTCCTCTTCCAGATAGCGGCCTGCTCACTATCCCTCCTGAGTTATCTGGCGCGGACACCATTGAGAAACTGCGCCAAGCGGTAAGGCTTTTCTTAACTCAAAAGAGTCAGTCTGTACCTTTGATAGCATTGCTTTACCACACTTGACATCTAATAAGTTAAAGACATGTGTCTGCCTGCCACGAGCAGCCTGCTTTAAAATAACAGGCTTGTACAGAGACAGCCTTATGGACTTCAACTTCCAGAATTCTGGGAATTGAAGTCCACGGGTCTTAAAGTTACCAAGGTTAGACAACCCTGCTTTAGAAAGAGGTTTACGTTGAGCTTCCTTAATTTTTGTTCCGGAGGGAAGCAGACTACATATGTGCAGGCTATCCTTGGAAATCCAAAACACTAGTCTAGAAAATATTCTCTACAGAGAATAGTATATTTAAATGATCTTCTGAAAACACAAACTCATGATTTGCCTTGAGTACCAAAGGAAAGGTACTAGGCTCTTTGGGTGCAACTGACTGAGTAATCTTACTTGTATAATTTATCTCGTACCTATTTTCATGTAGTCCAGTTAGCTTAAATAAAAACTATGATATTCATCCTTTTTGAAAACCTAAAACCAGATTTTTAAATGTAATGAGTATCCCAAACCCCTCCCCTCACGACTTGACAAAATGGCTTGTTTGCTATTTTCCTAATTTCTAAGCATGAAGGCAATCTGGCCTTTGGAGCTAGAGTATTCCTGAATGACAAGGTCATCATAGAAAAAAACTTGCTTCCAAGTCCTCCCTTCCCTTCAGGCATCGCTCCCTGAGCTGATTGTGGGGTAGGCCTGTTGTACGTGGACACAAGGCAACCTGTAGAGAAACATGGGCTCAACTCTTACAGAGCTTAATTGGTCAAAAACAGCACTTTGATTTTTACTCGGAAAATTAGCGGCAACCAATGCACTTCTGCCACATGCTAGTAGAGAGGGCCTGGCTTCTGGGAAGCCTTCAAAGACAGCTCCAAGCTGGGCAAAAGTGTCCCTGCTGCTGATCGAGCAGAAAGTCACGTATCAGAAACCACAAATTGCAGATCTGTCCCAAAGGTGCTTTTTCAAAAGGCCACTGGACTTTCTTTGTTCTTCCTTGAAGATGTTTCGCTCCTCATCCACGAAGCTTCTTCGGTTCTGAACTGAAGAGGAAAACTATCTTCAAGGAAAAACAGAGTGTCCAGTGGCCTTTTGAAAAAAAAAGCACTTTTGGGGCAACCATGACCTGGATGACTGAGAATCTCCAGAGACAATTGCAGATCTGCTTTCCATCCCTAGTCAGATTAAGGGTGACCACAAAACCTCATGGCTTCTGAACAAAAAGCAACTCTCTTGCTTGGAATTACTTTTGAATTAATCTACCACATCTAGGAGGGAGGGAGGGAGGGAGGGAGGGGTGTATAATTGTTATGATACCTCAATCCAAACCAACCTGCAGTTTCATGTAGGTGTTAAACAATTTTGGGAAAGGAATGAGTCCTACATCACACAGAATGCCTATGAACTCTAACTGCTCTCCCCTGCCATTATCAGACTGGAACCCCAGGATCAAGCCCAAACAGTGCTTCCCATTCCCAACCCCTGCAAATCCCAGCTTGGTTCCAATAAAAGCATCTTCAGCCAAAACCATCCAGGACAGTTTCAGTCCCCTTTGAAGCCTGACTGAAAGGGATGCTTTCACCCAGCATTCTTTGTAGAAGCAGCAGTCCTACCATCTTCTCCAATGCTTTCCCCAATTAGGGAAACCTAGATAGGATTCTCATCTGAGCGAACAAGAGCTTTTATTTTCTCTTCTGCCATATCATAGCTCAAAGTGTTTGAAGAGTGTGTGTTCATCCTATCAATATCGTTCTGGGTGGGGGGGAAAAAAGAATCCCCCCACCCCCGTCCAAAATCAAACCGTTCAATGGCCAAAAATGGGAGTGAGAAAAAGTATACACATTCCTCCTTTTCTTCCCAACTGGTTTCCGGAGTTTCCAGAAACCGACTGATCTACTGCCAAAAGTTACCTCACCCCTAGGAAAGATTTTATGCGATGCAGTAGTTACGAAGCGATTTTGTAAGCAGGGAGGGCTCCAGTCTAAGAAGAAAGACAAGCCAATGACCTCATTTCCCTTGCCTCATTTCCCAGGTGGCTGAGCTCTCCGGGCAAGTTCAGCAAATGCGGGAAGGCCTGTACTCTCTGCGCCAGGCTGTCCAGCTCTTCCTTCTCTCCCAGACATCAGCCCAGCAGCAAGCCGACCCTTCTGCCTGTGGGTCTTTCCCCCATCCAGATGCTCCTACAACGCCTTTGCTGAGCCCCCTCCGGGTTGACACAGGACTTTCACCAGCTTTCTGCTCCCACAGTCCACCGCCAGCACCATGCCCTAACGGAGCCTGTGGCAAAGTTCAGTGGATGTGGGCCCCTCCAGCTGGGCAAAGCTCACCCTGGCCTGGCACTTTTTGGACCCTGGGACGCCGAGCAAGGGATTCTGAGGCGGGAGTGCTTTCACCCTCTGGTCATGGCCCCAAGGACCAAGGGAACAACACTCCAATGCCAAACCTGAGCCAAAGAGAGAGCTCTCTGCCCCAAGCTTGCTCCGCCACAGATCCAGCGTACCATAGAAGCTCTCCCGAAACCAAACCTTCTAGGACTCAAGACTGTGATTCCTCCAGCCTTGAGATGGTGCTGATTGGTGCTGGGGATGATGGTTCTACCTCCAGTGGGCCCTGCTGGATAGAGGAAGAAGGGACGGGGATATGAGTGTGCTGAGCACAACTGATTACACAAAGATCAGGCACTGGGATTTTTTCTGTCCTGGGAATATCAAGGATTAGCCCTTGTCTTATGGAACCGGATGCTCTCCCACGTTAGGGGACAGAGAACACAACAGAGAAAGGTTACAATCAGCTCTTCCAAGGTTGAGAGAGAGTTGCAATTGTTGTCACGATGGAGATAGAAGAAAAAGACAGCAAACACCACAAAACACGATGGAACAGTAAGGCCCCTTTTGCCTCGGCAAAAGCAGAAAACTGCAAGCTGCTGTAAGAGTTTCTACTATCAAAAGCCAAAACCTGGGCCATCTGAGTGGTTATATGGGCTAGGGAATACATCCATGCGTCACAGCTTGAAATATGCAAACGTACCCATATTTGTACAAGATTCAATTTTCGATACTCTTCCTTCAGGCAGCTGGATTGTTAGGCATTACTGTGGGGATAGCGAGTGGACTTGGAGTGGAAACTCCCTCTGAGCATGTAATTTTTTGAATGGGAAGGCAGGTCCAAGACTTTGCCCAGCCCTGTGTAAGCGTGATGCTGGGCACCCTTTTTATAAAATAAAAAGTATGTTTTGAACGCTGACTGTTTAATTTATGAACTGCTGTTGCTCAGATGTTGTCCTTACGAGGCTCGTGAGCAACCTTTCCCATTCTAAATCATGGTATGTAGAACCTCTACCAACAGTTAAATGAAAACCACAAACTTCTGTTGTAAAATATACCAAAAAGGAGATTCTGCAGTAAACTTCACTGCCACTTCAATGGAGGCCACTAGCCAGTCAGCACTGTTTCATCAGAAATTTTAATGGAGACAAAAGTTAGATATTTTTTTTAAAAGCTAGCAAGGCAAAGGCTGCATTTTAAATAATTAGGTTTACTTCCATTTTTGCCATTGCTTTTTAAAATCCCAAACAATCAAACTATGACTGACAACACTCTGGTAAACTTATTCTACCATACAGTTACTTACAGGCAAGGATGTGCTTGCACTTAGGAGGCAAGTGCCAAAATCTAAAATAGTTCATTAGTCTGTCAACACCCCTGTTAAATAGTAATATTGTACCACGTGAACAGATAGGAACAGATGGACCTCTATTTTTAAAACCAACCTTACATGGAATAAATCGTTCCTTTTTTTCATACCCAAGGAACTGAGATTCTAGTGGATGATACCTGAAAAACTGACATCTAGAAATGGCACTAACACAGTGCAGAACGAGAGGACCAACAACTCTTATATTAACTTGACATTGGCTCTCCCCACATCCAGTCCTGAAAAATTTCGTCACTCTGTCCCAAAGAGAGTGAAGCACAAGAGTCGGTAGAAGCAGTTAGCCCTTTCTCACACAGCCCAGGATACTCAGCAAAGGGCTTCTGTTAGCCAAAGGGCTGTGTTTAAGCCCGAGTATCTCTACCCCCACCCATCCCTTCTCTCTCCGGTGGCTGTGTGTGTGCACGCACGAAACAGAGTTCCTGTATGCTAAAAAAAAAAAAAAGACCCAGGACTGCTTTGTATCCTAACCTCAAAGGAGGCAAACCAGAGGAAGCTGCATCAAGCAGCAAAGAAAATAGCAGTCCCTGCTGGAGGAAGGAGGGGCGGCGACAGGGGTGTTCCTTTGGTTTGATCCAAGCCTCAGGGCTGGGCAATTTTGGCAGCTTCTGCCTTGATAAGAGCAATCAGATCTTGGTTGATGAGGAAAACAAAGCGCAAACTGGCAATCTGGAAAAAGAGGAAGGGAGGGAGAAGAGAATCAAATCAGTTTGTTCGTATATATTCTGCTTTTGCACCCAATTAAGACATTAAGACCTTGAAAAGTTTTTCTACCAGTATGGAGATCTGCAATGGCAGCTAACTAGAAGGTTCTTGAGCTAAAGTGACTTATGTGTCTTCCTTCCTGGCCAGGCTCTTATTATGAGCCAGCCCTCCATTTAAGGCGGCCTCCCCCATTGGAGAGCTGCAATCCCAACCCCTCTGGAGGTGCCACACTCATGAAAGCTGACTGCATCTGGGCTCAACTGAGTCCGTGCAGATAGGCTGTCACCGTAGTGTAGGCCCACTGGTAATTTGCCCTGGCTATTATTACTAAATTGACAGCAATATTTATATTCTGGCCACTTCAAGGAATTCTACCCTGTTTCCCCCAAAATAAGCATCCCCTGATAATAAGCCCAGCCGGGCTTTTGAGCGCGTGGCAATAAGGCCAACCGCTTATTTCAGGGTTCAAAAAAATATAAGACAGGGTCTTATTTTCAGGGAAACAACAATAAACACAGTACCTGTGTTTAAAAAATACACAGGTAAAGCAGAACAGTAGCCAATTTAAAGTCCTCCGTGCTTTGGTATAGTTAAGTCCACAAAACCAAATTAAAAAAATAACACAAGAATAAAAAAAGAGAGATTCAGCATCAATTAGTAAGAAAGGTTATTTTAATTTAATCCTGGCTCTAAATTCCCAGTCTTCCCATCCTCTAAAAGGAAAACACAACTAGAATAAGAATATAAGACAATATCTAAGTCAAACTCTTTCTGCTATGAAGCACAGCCGGCCCCTGCTCACCTCAACCACGGAGTTATTGCTGAGTTTCCACTTGCTGCCACAAAGCACTGGCCGTCCATCAACATAAATGGGCCGTCGACCTTCGTTGGCCAAGAAAAAGTCCCCGTTGTTCTTCAGCTTGATGACACCTAGGTGTATTTAGGAAGAGATTACAGTGACTTGGACATTCCCAGGAGGAAGAGAACGAAGCCGCAATGGAATGTCACTGGGTCCTAAGCCACATGAATTTAGGCCACGGCCATCATGCCAGCCACTGCCTTTAAAGAACATGTTGACCTTTCTTGAGGAACGGTTATCTTCAAAAGTTAAAGAGCCGATCTCCCGCCCAGAGAAGGTTCTCAAACTGTGCGGCCTGATGAATGGCCACTGAATACAGGTAGTCCTTGACTTTCAAAGTTATAACACCCCACTTTCTCAAAAGCTACTTACGACCCGATTTCAACGTTACGACGGATGCACACCCACGTACCCACCCACCCACCCACAGTCATGTGATTGCATTTTGGGCTCTTGGCAATCGGCTCACCTTCCTGGCCTTTCTGTAGCATCCCGTGGTCATGTGACTGCGGTTTTTGATGCCGTTGCCAGTTTGTAACGTTTTACTTCCAGTTTCTGACAAAAAAATGCCCATTGGATTAAACCGATTTGCTTAGTCACGGTGTTCACTTAATGACTAGGGCATTCGCTTAACAACTGCCCAAAAAAAATCAGCTCAAGTCATGCCTCAATTTACAACGGCAATTCCATGCTCAATTAGTTGTAAATCGAGGACTACCTGTATGTACTTTTTACATGCTGATAGTAAATACATGAGGAAAAACCACAGAGCTGGCTAGGGTCCATAGAATTTCACCTAATGCCTGAAAGATTTCATAGGGTCATTAGAATAACAAACAGCATCTTACTTTTGCCCTACTTTCACATTTTAAAGACAGCTGTTTCTCCTAGCCAAAAAAAAAAACAACCCTCAGGCATCTCACACTGTGAAGCCAGTGTATCAGGAACCCGAAACAATGCTCTGGGATCTGGTTCCTCATAGTAATGCTTTCTTAGCCATGGCTGTACACATCTTGCCCAACAAAATATCTTTTTTTCTCAGTAATTCAGAGGCAAGAATCACTTCCGGTACCTTGTTTGCGGGAGATTTTCCAAGCAGGGCCTTCCAGTGCCAGATCTACATCAATCTGATTGTCTTTGGTGGCTCTGCCAAGCGTGATCTAGAAAAGGAAATTAGATAAAGAATTCACTTTGCGTATCAAAGCGGTCAGGGCTTTGCCGGCTTCAGTGATCAAAATGAATCAGGTGAACTGACACAGTACATTGTTTTTGATTTTGCAAATGCTGACTTTTCTAAAAGACCACATGATGGCATGGAGGCAAGCAAAGATAAGTGGAAAAAAAGAAGTGAAGTTCATCACCGGATTGAAAATTGCACTTTAACATGGGTTCTCAGGTTGTCATTTTGTCACAAAGTAAATTACATAGATACTAATGGAGTAACAGAAAAGGTAATGGAAATCAGAAACCAATAATCATTCTCCACTCCAGTGCCAGTACAGTGTTATCTTCCACTGTCTGGAAAGAGAATAAAAAAATACCAGTATCTCTTGAATTCAAAACTGTTCTTCTATCAAAATGTTCTCACTGAAATAGCCCAGAGTCTTCGACCTTTCAAAACACACAAATACGCCATGTACCTCAAAATCAAATGCAGCTTGATTGTGGCGCTTGATTTGCGTTGTTGAAAAATGATTCAACTTCCTCTCCATGATCCAAGCTGGCAATAAGGAGTTCACCTCCTTAGTTTTGGGCACGGCTGAATGAAAGACAGAACTCACCTCCCGGGAGCGCATGAGGTAGCGCACCATCCGTCCACGCAGCACCGCCAAGGTCTGGTTATCAAAATCAGGGGAGCTCATCCCTAGGAGGGGAAAGAAAAAAAAACCGGCCTAGCAAGGTTTTGGAAAATGGAGCTGACCAGTAGCAAGCTTGGCAAGAACAAAGTGCCTAGGGTTGCCTTTGGCATCTAAGTTTAATAAATAAATAAATCGTGCTTGGGTGTTATTTATATCAGCGGTCCGGAACCTTTCCGGCTCCACGGACCGGCAGTGGGGGTGAGAGGGGATGATTTTATGTGCGCAACCAAATCCCCTGCATGTGCAAATGGAGCATTACTGTTCTGACCCAGCTCCCCAAACACGACAAACCCTCTGAAGTTAACTCAAAGATTCCTTTAATTAGGAGTGCCAGCAGCCCCGGCCAAAAGTTTCACTCTCTCCGCAGGCTAATAAGTTCCACCGTCCAAAAGATGAATAGTTGTCTGCCACATCTATTCATCTCCGCCCCCTGCCTTTTATCCCCAGAGCTAGGGTGAGGCTTCGCTAGCAGTGGTGGCTCTTCCTTCCCAAGGTTTGGCCCACGGATTTCCACTGCTCTCCTCTCCTCTGCCTTCTGCGCATCCACGCGTCAGGCACTGGACCCAGCTGTTCCTCCTCTTCCTCATCAGTCACCTCTGGACCTGGGGGCTGTTGACTCTCCATCTGAGGGCTGAGGGATGGTCCAGGCTCCGCCTCTGTCTCTCTCTCTGCCAGCTCCATTCCCCCTTCCCCTTCAGAGCTCTCAGATTGCCTTGATGCCGGCCCTGACTCCCACGCCTCTTCCTCTTCTGATTCGGCTGGTGGAGGGGCTGGTGGCCAACAGGCCGCAACACCTACATGCTCACCCGCTTGCGCGGACCAGTTCTCAATAGGCCGCAGACCAGTACCAGTCCACAGGCCGGAGGTTGGGGACCCCTGATTTATACCACTCCCATTTCCAAGCTTGGCTTCCATCTACGTCCTTCCAAGATTCTCCGGTCGCTCTTTCCACTACAAGAGGCCTCTGCAGACTTTTCTCACCTGTTATACTATCCACCAGCACTTGCCATTTGTGTAGCTCTTGCTCTAGCTGCCGAATCTCACGCTTCTGCCTGCGGTCTGCAACAGTCAGTTCTGCGAGGAGGAAGATAGCAACCACATGTTTAATAGAGAAATGCAATGGCATTATTTTATAATAAAGGTATACATCATTTCCTAGAAATTCTGGTGGTTTTTCTTTTTTTTTCAAATTCCCTTCCTTAGATTTCCTACCACCATTCAATCTTGGCAGCTTTTTCTTCCCTTTTCTGCACCAAAGCCAAGGAAAGGCTCAAAAACATGGCAGAAATCCATTGAAGAATCCTAGCATTTTAAGCTCTCATGTCTCTCCAACAAGGTTCTTCCTTCTTTGGGCTCTGCTGCTGTCAGGCTTCTGAATTCAGAGGTTCTTACCAAAAGGAGGTGGAAGGCCCTGTAGCCCTGTTTCCTTAGACATCAAGCAAGTAAAGTTCAGCCCTACTTGTCTTCCACAGCTTTCCAACACAGATTCTAATGCTTTTGCATTAGTATTTCCCAGTGTTTTGACCAAACAGAAAACCACACAAAGCCGATAATGCATAAACACAGCCATCTGAAGAGGAAGCTTTGTTTCGGTCCATACGTAGCTTCACGTTATCAAAGCAAATCTAACTTACCATGTTCCAACACTTCATCTCGTACATCTCTGTAGGGAAAGGGGAAAAGGGTAGAGAAAAAAAGAGAACACAGAAGGTTAAGCAGATCATAGACTGCCCACTGATTACTCCAGGATCAGTTTGGCATTTGCTTCTATTCTATTGAAATTTCATATTTAAAAATATGTATGCATCTTGGGTCAGATTAAGATTCTGCCACTGGTGCAACGTAGACAACTTCAAAAAGCAAGCAGCTAAGCATTTCCAGCTGGAGTTCCCCAGGACAGCCAGGATGTTGGCTGAAGAATGAATGGAACTGAAAGGCGCTGTAAAAGCTAGCCAGTAACTGTCATCAGATCTAAGCTCTATTGTGACACAATTCCTGGGCATTCAATCTGTCTGCTGTGGAAGGGAACAGGAGTGGCTTCAAATTGTCACTCTAAACACTGAAGGAATGTTTGCCCACCCCCCAAGTCAGCCCAGCTGCATTGGTGGCACAATGCTCTACGGCTAAAAGGGGGGTGGGGGTGGAATCTACCAGCTTCTCACTTACTTCAGCTTGCTGTCATCTATCATGTCTTCAGCATCTGAGAAGTTGAGCACTTGGTCTCCTTTGGGCAGTGGCTGCACTGCAGAGAAGAGGACACAAGGGTAGTTTAGAATTCAGATCCCAGCTTCAGCCTCAGCCTCAGCCAAGGAATCAGTAGACGGCCTTACCTGTTTGATCGTCCAGGAGGTAGTACTGCTTCATGAGCTGCCAATGTGTCTGCAAGACTTTAGCAGTGCGGGAAGGGTAGAAAATCTCTGGGTGTTTGTGCAGCAGATCTTGGAATGTATCCAGATTAGGCTGACTGGTCTAGACGAACAGCAGAAAGGGAGTGAGAGGAGGAGTTCTCATTACACACAGTGGTGTTTACTGTTGTTATTATACATTTTTTTACTACAAAGGATCTTAATAGAGCCGTGGTGGTGCAGTGGTTAGAATGCAGTACTGCAGGCTACTTCTACTGACTGCCGGCTGACTGCAGTTTGGCAGGTCGATCCTGACCGGCTCAAGGTTGACTCAGCCTTCCATCCTTCCGTAGTAGGTAAAACGAGGACTCAGATTGTGGGGGGGCAATAGGCAGACTCTGTAAACCGCTTACAGAGGGCTGTAAAGCACTGTGAAGCAGTATATAAGTCTAAGTGCTTTTGCTATTGCTAATCAGGTTTAAGTTTACCTCAAGCCTGGTTGTGCGATGCATTTGTTAACTTCAGATTTTCTGAAAGTCCATCGCATTATGGTTTGCAATGGCACCAACTCTAAAATGGCTCTAACCTGGTCTATTATACTATCTGTATTAACTGAAGAAACAAAGAACAACTCTCAGAAAAAGCTTTTCTGAGCACTGAGAAAAGGAAACTGCTATGAGTTATAAGGGGAAAAAGCAGAACTTAAAGACTGATACTAAAGGGCTCTCAGAAACCCAAGTTTGCTTTGTGTCAGGCTGGGGGTGTGACATCCAGGTTTATTGCTCCTTACCGATCCCACTTTGCTTAGGAGCTGTTCCTCTGCTTTGCTGAAAAGCACTTTGCTCTGCATAGATGCAATGGCTTCAGGATGCAGTTGCCTCATTGCTTGGCAAGACAGCCTGTAGAGAATGAAGACAAATGAACCAAAAATTCATTGGCTTCACTGACTCAGTGGGATTGTTGTCTCTCCAAGCGTCTCCAGTAGAAAGAACGAAAGAACGAAAAACAAGGCTGTAAACTGAATCTCTCTCTTCATTAATATGAAAACAGATTCAATAAAGTCCCAAGAATAGAATAGAATTTTTATTGGCCAAATGTGATTGGACACACAAGGAATTTGTCTTGGTGCATATGCTCTCAGTGTACATAAAAAAAAGATACGTTCATCAAGAATCATAAGGTACAACACTTAATGAGAGTCATAGGGTACAAATAAGCAATCAGGACACAATATCAATATAAATCGTAAGGATACAAGCAACAAAATTACAAAAAGTCCCAAGTAGTTGATATATGCATCCTGTCTTTTTCGATGGGGGTATGTCAGGATTTTTCATGCTTTAGAAAGCTATCCTGATATTTGCATATCCAAAGAAATGCAAGATGACCATTTCAGGAATAGTTGGAGATGTCAGAATAAATGTTTCACATTAATTCCAGCACTGATGAACTAGAAACTAATTCTCTCAACTTAAAACCATCTCCCCTCTCAGTCATGTTTAACAATTTTATTATTTTTCTACTGGTAGGATTCCAGTCTTTAATGCCACATGGTTAGAAAAACCTTCTTTACCTAAGAAAAGGTAAATAAAATATGGACTGGGAAGTAGAACATCAAAATATCTCTTACAATGATCAGGAATCATTATTCATCTCCACTATGAAGACACGCTTATTTAGAACAAACATTAACTGCATCAATATTTAAGCTGGACTACTTTGTTTTAACCCTCTGGAAATCTGGAATCTGTGCTACTTTCATGTTTCTTCCACCCGTGGTTCTATCAGGCCATCAACGATGTAGTAAAATCCATGTTCTGCTTTTACTACATCGTGTGCTATCTCTGTCACATAAGAACTGTGGGAGAAATGGATGAACTACATGCAGGAATGTTATCTAAACCAGGAAATGAGAAGTTTCAATGAAAACCACCAGTTCCGTCTCAGCTTTTTTTCTGCTTCCAGCTTGACTAGCCTCCTGGACTTGTCTTGGGCACTCTGCCTAGTGGGGAACCAGATGACAGCCATGCAGCAGCAGGAGCCATGGTTGCAAAGGAAGCAGCCAGCAGGAGAAGGGACAGTAAGGGTGCTGGTGCAAGCAGACCAGGCCTGCTGCTGGAGACGCTTTATTTTCTCCTTGGCTGGAACACACTGAGCTTGCTTCTTCCTCAAAGAAAGAGGAAAATTTAATTGCTTGATCCAATTTGCAAGAATCGGATCGAGCAGTCAGATCACACCCCTGTGGTATGGAAGAAAAGATCTCGGGTTGGCAATGGCACCTGCAGCAAGCTGAAATGACACCCGAGTGATGACACATGTGCAGTCGCATCTCTTTGTCATCTGTTCTCCCTATCGACCATCATGAGAGTCAACACTGCCTCTCAATAGCTGTGAAGCCGCACATAAAACGGGAGAAAGGGTGGGGACCCCGATCATTCTTCCCCACATAAGACTCAATGAATCTCACTGGTGTTTCAGGGGTTCTCTTTCCTACCAAGAGAAACTAAAGGAGTAGCAGTACCAGCTATACTGAAAGGAATGGGGAAATCCCTCGCCAGGCAATCACTTCCATATAATAAGGGTGGCAGAGAGACCTAATATATACCTTGCCACATACATGGCCACACATAACCCTTCATTCCAAGGCTCTGCTTGAAAGTAGATCCCATTAAGTCAAAACAATTCACTTCCAAATAAGAACACATAGCAGCGGTACCCAATATTTTCGCCTCCGCAGACCGGCAGTAAAGGGGAAGGGGGATGGTTTCACATCCGTGCCCACTGCTTGCACAAATGGAGCTTCACACACTCATGGGCTTGGCTGCTTGCCCACTGCTTGCATGGCCCCCCTCCCAACAGGCCATGGGCTGGTACCGGACCACAAACCGGGGGCTGGGGACCCCTGACATATAAGATCTCCACAAATGAAAGTTCTCTGGAAACTAGACCAACACACATTTGTCTTTCAGCATACCAGGATGTTTGTCTCCCCTAAGAGAGTGATCCGCTTTTAGTCCCCATTGGTAGTGGCTCAGGGTGCCACCTGCCTAATTTTGGAAACAAGAGAGTGGGAGCCTTCACCACAGCTCTGTCCTCTCCTTTTGAGAATAAGGGTTGTGTGAATATGACCAAACTTACTTGGAAATCACAGGATCATAGAGGAGTGCGTACCATCGCTCCTGGATTTCTCGCAAATTAAAGCGACAGCTGAACTTCACGCCCAGGTGCACAGAGGTCAGATCATTGGTCTTCAGAGAGAAAGAAAAAGAGGTCTCAGTTCTAGGGTGGGCAAAACAGTAAGGTTTGGGGCAAGGAGAGAGAGAGAGAGAGAGTGAAAGAAAGGAGGGAGGGAGGGAAAGAAAGAAGAGAGGGAGGAAGGGAGGGAAGGAAGGAAGGAAGGAAAGGGAGGGAGGGAGGGAGGGAGGGAGGAAGGAAGGAAGGAAGGAAGGAAGGAAAGAAAGAAAGAAAGAAAGAAAGAAAGAAAGAAAGAAAGAAAGAAGAAAGAAAGAGGGAAGGAGGGAGGAAGGAAGGAAGGAGCAACTGTATTGGCTTCCAACACTTTGAGCTTAAATGGAACACAACCCACTGAAGGATAAAGCAATCAAAAACTGATTACAAAAAATTGCTGGGGAGGAATGGATGTTTCTAGAAAATCAATATACTTCTGCAGCTATGGTGGACTGAGTCAGGCCACTGGCCAATCAGTTTCAATACTGCTTCTACAGATAGTCCTCGACTTACTAGCGTAATGGTGCCTCCCATTGTTGTTGTTAAGCAAATGTGGCAGCCGTAAGGTGAATGCGGCAATCCTAAAGCGAACCCATTGTTTGCTATGGAGTATTTTTGCTGAAAACCGGAAGTAAGTGCCGGGTATTGGAAGAAACATGGTAAAATGCAATTATGTGACCACCAGACACTGCAAATGGCAGTCAATGCAGGCCAGTTGCCGAGCACCCAACATATGGTTACCCGTTGGGGAGGGGAGGTCCATCATAGCTTTGGTTGCTAAGCAACTGATTGTAAGTTGAGGAGTACCTGTTATAACTGGTACAGGCACACATTAAAAAGATTCAGGAAGAGGGTGAGAATGGTCTCCAGACATATTTGGAAGAGAACTGCTTAGGAGTCTCAAGTAAACTATTCTAGTTTTCTTGGCATCCAAAGGATTTAAATAGCCTTTCTGAGCTATAGTGAATAAACATCTGGAACCTGTGTTCTCTAACCATAAGTTCATTCCACTACCTGAAGCACAGCATTGATCAGCAACAGATCATCGGTGGGTTTCCAGCGGCCCAAATCCTTGGTGACCTGCAAGGGTTGCTTGCTCTTCTTCATCCGTTTGGTGAGGCTGGGATTTGGAGCAGGGCTTGGAATGACAGGGGTTGAGATGGACTTGGACACCTGAAGAGGCAGAGGGGAAGATTATTTCATCTACTCAAAGAGTCTTCTGCGGGCCTTCAATTCAGAAGGCAACCAGGAAGTGGAAGCCCTTGGATTCCTGTTTTCCTACAAGGACATAGGAATCTAACTTTGCCTGGCAGGATTGGCAAATCCCCATGAAAGAGGATTTCAAACCAGCCCAGCTTTTAGAACATATCGTCAGTTACAGAGAAACAAAAGAAGCCGCTTCTAAAGAAACTGCCAGTCAGACTTACAAATGAATGAGAAAAAAAAACAACAACTAAAAGGTTGGGCACCATTATTTCTGATATTTTGTACTGGAATGTGGCTTTAATAAAAGAGTCATAGTTATATTTACGGTAAAAGTGTCTTTGTGTGCGGCATGGAGAACAATAAGAGGATTTCTGAAGGCCCTCTCCCAGCAAAACACAATGATGCAGATCAGTCACTGACTCACCTTCTTCTTTTCACTAGAAGATGGCTCACTGCCAGAGCAGCGTCCCGGCTCCACCCCGCTGGGGCCTTTGGCCCGGCTGGATGATTTGGCAAGGCTGCTTTCTACCAGCTCATCATCAAATTTCTTCCGCTTGATGAACCTAGAATGGGGAACATCCGCATTGCCGTAATCTCAAGGAAACACCTACCCCCTTCACTACTTTCTTTAACAACAGGGAGTCATGGGTGACTTCAGTGGACATTCTTTCACTTAGGTTTATTAAGGTTTAGTAAATTTGTATACCGCCCTTCTCCCGAAGGACTCAGGGCGGTGAACAGCCAAGATTAAAATACATACAATATAAAAATTAAGATGAATTAAAACAGAATTAAATCAAATTGGCTTCCCAAAATTTAAAACCCTTTGCTCATAAAATAACCCATTAAAATTTTAAGCCAGCCCGGTTTGCTGAAATAGGAAGGTCTTCAAAGCTCCACGGAAAGTACGGAGGTCCGGGATCAGTCGTATTCCGGGGGTAACTCATTCCAGAGGGCGGGTGCCCCCACAGAGAAGGCTCTCCCCCTGGGGGTCGTCAGTCAACATTGCTTGGCCGATGGCATCCTGAGGAGCCCCTCTCTGTGGGAGCGTACTGGTCGGTGGGAGGTTATCAGTGGCAGAAGGTGGTCTCGTAAATACCCGGGCCCTAAGCCATGGAGCGCTTTAAAGATGAGAACCAATACCTTGAAGCGCACACGGAAGACCACTGGGAGCCAGTGCAGTTCACGCAGGAGAGGTGTTACATGGGAGCGCCATGTCGCCCCCATAATAACCCGCAATTAACAGATTAATTAACAGAATTGTGGACCAAGTCTTTTAAGAAAAGTCTAAACTATACGTGCATAGGGCATAATTAGTCCTAATAGGTCAACCAACATTTTAACAATTGTACCTTGGGGGGGGGCACATTTGCACAATTATCCTCGGTCACTTGGCTGATTAATATGCAAACTGCATGCAATGATTTTACTGTCATTTTTGCAGTAATTAAGAAGCAGCCGTTATTTCCAATTAGTTTTAATAAGAACTTGAGACTAAGATTAATTGTTGGTGTAGAATTCTGGTTAGTGCTGACTGGAAGTAGTGACTGTTTCAGGTTAAAACAATACATTTAATCATGGGAAAGCTATTAGCTGTGGTTAAGAATCTGCACAGGATATGGGATAAAATGCTCTGAGGGACTTAAATGCAGTACATTAACGTGTCTCTGTAGACAAAATGTTTGAGACATATTTTATTAATTTATATGCAATTCCACAAGAACAGATCTTGTTCCTTAGGGCAGTAGCATCTAGGGCCATTTGACCCCATGAAATGTACTGAAGAAAAATCAAATACTGTTTTCTAATCAGCAAGAACACAATTATTCTCTTTGTTTTTATAGCAATAGCACTTAAGACTTATATACCGCTTCACAGTGCTTTACAGCCCTCTCTAAGAGGTTTAAAGAGTCAGCCTATTGCCCCCAACAATCTGGGTCCTCATTTTATCGACCTTGGAAAGATGGAAGGCTGAGTCAACGTTGAACCGGCAAGAATTGAACTACTGGCAGTGGGCAGAATTAGCCTGCAATACTGCATTCTAACCCCTGTGCCACCACGGCTCATTTTATGTTCAAGAAGATAACAAATATGGTCACTTCTGGTATGGTTTATGATTCCCAAGATTCCATCCTTTTCTCTCAATTAAAGGAATACCAAGGGAAACTGCTATGTTTGGCTGGAAAACCAACAGGAGACCACAGCTCAATTAGACAGTCTGTTGCCAACCTCCTGACTTCATCGGTGCAAATTAAAAGAAAGCAAAATGCTTTGTGATTGCTCCAAAAGTTGCAACTTCAATAGGTTTTACTCAAAACGACCATCCGTTTTTAAACATCCTCAGAAAACAATGGTTACATTGCATCTGCATATGAAAAGAATCCAGCCTATTTAACCATACTTTAGCCCTCGTTTCCAACAAGCATCGTATTTCTAAATTTCAAATTCTCAACTCTCCAAAATAAAGATATGTTTGAAACCCAGGTGTCTTCCTTTTCCTGGATCACCTTCCTTCCCAACCACGTCCATCATAGTACCTGGATGAGCTCCGTCGTTTTGGAATGGCCCCCGATACTTGCGATGAGCTTCTTTTTTGTCCTGCTAGAGACTCTTCGTCTTCGGAGCGGCTAGCTGTACCCGACGCCATCGGTCTGGAATCCAAAGTGTCTGCCACAGAGACAGGAGCACAGATTCAGTGCCTAGTGGTAACCAGTTGTGATTGGATCCCAAGTTGCAGCCATGTCTATTAGGTAGCTGATGCAGAGGGAAGCAAAGGAAAGCACTTTTGCGCAAGCTGATTATGGGTTCATCTCTAACCAGCAGTCTCAGAAGTCTAAAAGAAATTGTGTACAGGTAGTCCTCGACTTACAACAATTCATTTAGTGACCAAAGTTACAACAGCACTGAAAAAGTGACTTATGACCATTTTTTATACTTATGACCTTTGAAGCATCCCCATGATGTGATCAAAATTCAAACGCTTGGCAAATGATTCATACTTATGACGGTTGCTGCGCCCCAAGGTCATGTGATCACCTTTTGCAACCTTCTGACATTCCCACAGCACTAAGTGTGGCAGCCCTGAATATCCAAAGAAAAAGATGCCTTCCAGGGCTGACACAAAGTCAATGGGGAAGCCAGATTCACTTAACAACCGGGTTGCTAACTGATCAACTGCAGTGATTCACTTGTGGCAAGGAAGGACATAAAATGGGGCAAAACTCACTTAACAAATGTCTCATTTAACAACAGAAATGTTGGACGCGATGGTGGTTGTAAGTCGAGGACTACCTGTACTTGGAATATATAACTTAAAAGCAAGATAAGCACCCCCTTTATTCTAATATATTTTTGCTTGGGAATATACTACCATTGATTTCAGAGGAAAATATTCTAATCTAAGCAATATGCCACGCTGCTACAATTAGTATTACATAGAAGGCATTTCCATCATGACGGTTTTTGAGGAAGATAACAGTGGACATAAGCGTTTTGGTTATTGTTCTGCTTGGTTGCCAAGAGCAGCTACGGGAAGTCCTTGTTTAGCAACCACAATTGGTTGTAGAGACTCACTCATTAGGTAAAGTGGCTGCTAAATGAAAATCACTTATGACTGTGTTTACGATTTTATTTCAACTTTCCTTTGCTTTACATTGTCAAAAGGATAAAACCCCAAGCAGCCTGGCGAGCCAAAGACAACTCCAGAACTCTTTTCACAAAGAAGCCAGGTAAAAGGGCAAATCTTACAGCTCTTTTTTCCCCCATTCCTGCCCTTTGGAATGCTCAACCTGGCACTGGGATAATTAACAAGGGGAGAATTGAAGTTTGTGTTTACATTCACTGGAGAGGAAGTTGTTGTCTCAGTTCGGGTCTGAGCCTGGTGCCGAGGCCAATGAAGGACACCAGGCACGAAGTGCAGGTTTTGATTGCCTTTTATTGGGGTACCCCAAGGAAAAGGGCTCCTGGCCTAAATGCCAAGAACGAAGGATTAAGAAAGCTTTATACATTTTCACTAAAGGAGAAGGCGGGACAAGGTGAGATAATAAGAAATATCATCTAATAAACATCTTAGTAATAATTTTACAATTTGTTCTATAGGTCTGTAGCTGTCCCTATTTCTAAGCCTTGTCTAATGAACGCCCCAGGAGTTATCTAATACACATTTTATTTGCTTCAGGCCTTCTCTATTCCTAACTTTTAGCTGCGGTCTGCAAGTTGCCTAACTCTTTGTTACTTTTATCAGTTTTCTAACTACCCAGAATTGTTACAAGCTTTACACAGGCATATTTCCTGTGGATAAGCATTCTTTGTTCTTGCCAGACAGACTCCACAATTACAGGCTTCTTGATTTACTTTCAAGTGTGTCCCATGACCTGGCTTTATTTTAGCAGACAGCCCATATCAAAGGAATTACAAGAGAGCGCACAACTACTCCTTGACTTAACTTGACTTGACTCCTTGACTTACAACCGGTCGCTTGGCAACCTTCAAAGTTACAATGGACCCTCTTTGGGGCTACTTACAACTAGGAGTCTGATAGTTGGGCCCTCCCTCATAGTCATGTGACTGAACTTTGATCATTCAGCCACACAGTTGCATTTAAAGTTGTTTGCAGCACCCCACGGTTCCATGTTTTATGAGGGTTTCTGCTGAAAACCCGCCCTTACTTCCAATTTTCAGCAAAACTGTGCCCGTAGGAACCATTGGCCACTTAATGACCACAGTGTTTGTTTAACCATAGCAGCCGCTTTACAACTGTCACAATTTACAACCATGAGTATTTATTATTTTACTAGTTTGTCAAACATGTACAAGATAGCAGGTATGAATATGAACATGGACATGAACAAGGGAAATGAATACAAATAAATGGGGGCAGTAGGACAGGGATGGTAGGCACGCTGGTGCGCTTACGCACCAGCATAATAATGATGATGATGATGATGATGATGATGATGGGCAGGCTCCATTGCAGTTGTAGGTTGAGGAGTTCCTGTAAAGCAGCCAAACAATGGAGAATAAGCACTGAAAAGAATGAGCTAGATTTTTATTTTTTTTTGCTTTAATTTATATGCCGCCCTTCTCCGGAGACTCAGGGCGGCTTACAATGTGTTAAGCAATAGCCTTCATACTTTTTGTATACATTTATACAAAGTCAGCTTATTGCCCCCACAATCTGGGTCCTCAATTTACCTACCTTAGAAAGGATGGAAGGCTGAGTCAACCTTGAGCCTGGTGAGATTTGAACTTGCAGTAATTGCAAGCAGCAGATGTTAATAACAGTGCTTTAGTCCACTGTACTACAGGCTCTTTTGTTTGCCAGCTGACCAGGAACTGCTTAGAACAGAGGTCCCCAACCTGTGGGCCAAGACCCACTACTGGGCCATGGCCTATTTGCAACTGGGCCGTGTGAGTAATGGGCTGGCATGCGTACACAACCCAACTCACATGGGTGCTGGGATTCGTAGTCCCACTTGCATGAGTGTTGGCACTCCCAGCTCCACTCATGCGAGCGGCGGGCCACTCACAAATGCCGCTGTGCATGCAACGTCACAAAACAAGAACTACCTGTACACTCAGTTTAGAACTGTCTTTGGACCAATAATTATCTTTAGCTCAACTTTTTTCCACGGTTTCATTGTTGTAATATTAAAATGAGAGAGTGTTCCACAAACACCATCTTGAGTTCTTAAAAGGAAAAAGAGTGATGCTCTTGAGTTACTCCTGCTGACTTCATGGATACATGAAGTTGTTTATATGTGAATGTTGACAACAGTATGAAAGCAAATTGCCACTTTTCTTCTTCCAGGAATTTTTTTTCAATTTCCTGTTTTATTTTTGAGACAGTCCACTTGTTTCCTATCCAAGTATTAACCACACTAAGCTTATTTGGTATCCCAATATCAATTTGTTGGTTGATTTAGTGAACAGTTGCTGCCACTTGCTGGGCCAATTAAAAGGAAATCTATCAAGCTCAATTCCTGACTTTGTCCGTGTTATTTCCTTGATAGGAATACAGAAACGGTTTGGTGTTGCCTATTGTTCTACGACTCTGGGATTTCTGGATAGTCTCCCATCCACTCTGCTGTAACTCCCAGAAGAAAACTAGGAAATCAATATAATACAAGAATAAAATGATACAATATTCAGGCCCAAAGTGGGTTAAGAGTGCTGTCACAGCTGCCTCTTTCGGTGTACAAAGTAAAATTACTAACATGACACTATTCCAATTCTGGATCAAAAGAAATACCAGATCCCAGCCCTACTTAAGCCGCTGCTTCATTCCATGACTTAAAAGAAATACGACAAAATGAACAAGTCAATATGATAGTGTGGTACAATGGTTAAGTCACAATCTTTGCTCAGAATTTCAAATAGTTTTGGGGAACTCCCATTTTTATATCGGTGCAGCCTTCTTTAATAACCTGGAGCCCTCCCAGATGTGTCAAACATCGATTTATTTGAGAGCGGTATGCAACGAAATTTCATTTTAATGTATGCCGACAAGGGTACATTCAAAGTGACAATAAAGTTCTTCTAAGCCTGAGTCTATTGTGATCAAAGATTATAAGAATTCATTGGGAGGACGTCAGGTTAAGAAAAGGACTGGTATGATGAAAGCAGACGTCCCAAAGCAAAGAATCTTGTTCAAAATTTGACAGCCTTCCCTAGTTTTAATGCCTTCCAGAAGTTTGGCCTTATGGGAATTTGTGATCCAATGTATTTAGAAGACAAAACAACTGCCTCAATAAAAAGAAAAGAAAAGAAAAAGCAGGATGATGCACAATTAATGAAACCATGCAAACAAGGCGAATTAAATCAACCCAAGCGAATCAAGAGTGGTAGAATTTCGCCCCAGGAAGAGGGGGGGGGAAGAAAGGAGCGAAAGCAAGGCGCTTGCGCAGGTCTACGCCCTTCACCTTTTTGCGCATGCGCCCCCCGTCCGCCTCGCTCGTTTCGTTTGTTTCCTAACCAAGAAGCGAAGCGGTTCTCTCCACTTAATCTCAACAGATCTCAAGATGTTATATAAAGGCTGTAGCGGCATCACCTCACCATTCCCAATCGTTACGATAACAACAACAACGACTCCCGCCTCTCTCCGACGTCCATCTCGGAAATGCGAGGGAAAAAATCCCAATAACTTCCGGGGAAAGAAAAAAAAAGGAAAAACGAGGCAAGCGAAAGATCAGTTCCGGTTTAATTGTCGCCTAGCCGAGTGGGGGAAGCGGCCATCTTGGTTAAGGGCACCGTTCCAGTGCTTCGGTTTGTCCAGAATATGTAGAAAACTCATTGCCCTCACAAAGACCGTTTTTCCGACATCGCGATTTCAGTTTATGTCATTGATTTCCCGATGTACCTGCACACATTCTGATTGGCAAGAGGGTTTCGCTCTGCCACAGACATTTAGATTTAAAAAAACATTTTCTTAGCCTTGTAGAGGAAATACGAAATACGATGGACAGAGTGCAGACAGGACGGTGGCTTGAATTGCTTAACATTAACAGAGTTGGAAGGGGCCTTGGAGGTCATCTAGTCCAACCCCCTGCTCACGCAGGAGACCTATACTGGGGATTCGAAGCGCCGAACTGCCGACCTTTCTGATCGACAAGCTCAGTGTCTTAGCCATTATAATAAAATGGATCAAATAAATCCATCCCAGTCTCCTTTTGGTTTGACAGCGATGTACAATTGTTAACAGAAGCTCGTGTTTCTGTCTCTGAATATTAGTTGCAGAGGAGAAATAACGGGACGGCATTCGCCTTGCTTTTGGGACTCCTCGAAAAAGTTGCAGTTGGGTGCCAGAAAATATTGTATTAGTTAGTGTGTCTGTGCATTATTCGGAATTAAACAGTCACCAAACCTCAGTCCAGGCATTGGATGAAGGAAATGGCTGATTTTGGGATAATTGTAATTAATATTCATAAGTATTTAGTGTGTAGGTATATACATATGTATGTTTGTAGCATATCTATATGTGTGTTATGTATGTGTACACTTTTGAGAGCAGGCAATAGAATTTCATTTTTAATGTGTGCCAAGAGTCCCACAGAAAAAAAAATGATAATAAAGATCATCTTATCTAATTGGAAGCAAACTTTATATTTATAGCACAAACATAATTAGCCATCACAGCATCTATATAGATGGATCATGAAGTCTTGGAAACTGTAATTGTTAAGCAAGAAACATGATTCTGAGTTACATTCATTTTATGTCATGTGTTACAAAAGCCTGTGTTAAAAGGTTGGGACTTTACAATTCATCCAGAGATTACAAGTGGATGTCCCTTGGCCTGGGAGCAGTCCCCATGGTGTGGTAATTTGGGTACATCTCGCTCACCAAAACCCCTTGGGTCAGTTTTTTTAAAAAATATATTGATTGATTAATCAATCTATAATTGATCTTTATTAAAAAAAATACGGTGGTACTGTATAGCAATTAGAGATGGTAGCAAAGATATTGATGCCACAGCAAGAGTAGAAATGTTTTTGCTCTTTGTATTATTGTTAATGAAAAATAGGGATAATTTATTATGAATGAGTTATAACTTAATCTCTAATTCATTGCAGATGTGCACATCAGCTGGTTTTTGTGCCAAGAATCAACATATTAGTCAATTTGATTTGAATGCCTACCGCAACTTTTTAAAATATAAGATTTGTTAACTCAGTAGCAGCAGTAAGCTGACATCAGCTTAATAAATCTCCTATTTTATGTATATGTATGTGTGTGCACACACACACAAGTGAAATTGACTACATCATGATGTGATAAAACCATATTCTGCAATTGTACTGTCATCAATCATTTTAATATTGGAAGTGACCACAGAATGGTACAAGCTAAAGTGAAGATAAACTGTTGAAAAGAGCGTATGAAAATGATAAAGATGTCACAAAAAACAAAAATAAAGAATGATAAGATGTTAGAGGAGAACAGAGATTTTGAGATTAATCGCTTTGCTCTGTTCCAAGATTTGGAAGAGATGAACATTACGCACCAAAATGAACAAATATTTATTATGTTTAATAAATTAACTAAAGAAAAAAAAATTATGTGGAGAAGAACTAGACATAGTAGACCACTATATATACTTTGGCCAACAGATCTCAAAGGAAGGGGATACAAAAAAGGAAATTGAACAGCGTGTTAAATATAGTTGGCAGGCATTCAGCAAACTAAGCATAATATTCAAGAACAACCTCCCCTTATTGCCTGAAGAGAAAAGTTTTCGATCAGTGTATGCTACCTGCTCTAATATATGCCAGTGAAACATGGACATTAAGCTCACAATCGATACAAAAGCTACAAGTGGCACAAAGAGCCATGGAAAGATACATGCTCGGCAATACAAGACAAGATAGAAAGACCTGCACATGGATTAGAGAACAAGAGAAAGTATACGATATCATCAAGAGAGTAAAAGAATTGAAATGGAAATGGGCTCCTCACATAGCAAGAAAAACAGATGGTAGGTAGACCAAGGCAGTTATAGAATGGATCCCACTTAATAAAAAGCATCCACAAAAGAGACTTAAAACAAGATGGATCAATGACATCAGCAAGTATTGTGGGCCCAATTGGCAAAAGAAACCTCAGGACCATATAGGTTGGAAACATTACATATTTATATTTGTTTAACACAGTAATCTTATATATGTGTGTGTCACATACACACACACACACTAGCTGGACGCCCGTGCTTCACTACAAAACTATGTGATCGGGCATGATAAATTGACTCTTAAAGCCTGAAACTTAATGCAGAATGTGTAACTCAGTAGCATCAAAGTGTGTTAATATAAGGCAACTGGCAGTTGGAACAGAGGGGGAGGAGGAGTAGAATGTCCCAGCTCGCAGGCTGGATGAGTCACCTGCTGGCTACGCCCACACCCAGTTTAACGAAGGGGTAGCATCAGAGCGTGTTAATATAAGGCAACTGGCAGTTGGGACAGAGTTCCTTTCAGGTGGGGAGGGGGAGTAGAATGTCTAACTCCTTAGCATCAGAGCATGTGAATATAATACTGTATATGAAATACTAATGATCTGATGGTCATTTTGAAAAAAACCTTTCTTAGCAAGCACCTAGAAGCCAAGAGGAACATACGTGCCAAATTTCAAGTTTCTAGGCTTTACCGTTCTGGAGATTTCGTGATGAGTGAGTGGTATTTGACTTTTATATGTGAATGTTGGAGCCTTAATAAAGAGGATTTTAAAATAATTTTATTTCTTCTTTTCTCTCTCTAAAAAGCTGGGTAATTCATTAAAATAGATTTTGCTTATGCATTGTCCATATGCTATGAGATTTAGTCTTTATTTCTTCACAGCATCCTCTAGGACGGCTGCCATTAAACCTTCAAAGATTGCAGCTTTTGTTAAACTATTATTATAGTCTTCTTTTGCTTATACAGAATGTTCTCAATATTTAAGTCAAGCAATTTGGAAAAAGCAGCTACGGCAAAAACAACCTATTTTTGCACTAAGTTGCCATCAATATTTTTTTTAGAGATCTGGATTTTTAATTATAGCCATTTCCCAGGTCTATGGGAAAAGGGATTGATATTCATTGACTCCTCTATTCATGAAAGATAAGGCATTTTACTTATTCTTCTTGAAATTGGGGGCGGAAGTTTAATCCTTTGATAACTGCCAGGGTTAATGTTCAAATTAAATAAGCTAAAGCCAATTGTGGGAGTGATAGTTTGTTGTTCAGCTAAAAGAATCAGCTGACATTATAAAATATATATATATATATATATATATATATATATATATATATATATATATATATATATATATTATTATTATTATTATTATTATTATTATTATTATTATTATTTAATCTTTAGTGAGATTCACAGCCTTTGAGGCTGGTTAATAGCTCAGCAGCTCGAGTCCTAACCAAGGACCTAGGAACTGTTAAGGTATCGTCGGATGATGTAAGCTGTTCCGAGTAAGGTGGTTTTTTGTAGAGTCAAAATGTTCAAGTCCGGCAAATTTAGAATTTCTAAATAGCGGGGTAGCCCTTTGGATATTGCTCCAAGGGCTCCAATTACAATCGGGACAACACACAATTTCTTTTTCCACAGTCGCTCAACAACTTATTATTATTATTATTATTAGTTAATCTTTAGTGAGATTCACAGCCTTTGAGGCTGGTTAATAGCTCAGCAGCTCGAGTCCTAACCAAGGACCTAGGAACTGTTAAGGTATCATCGGAGGATGTAAGCTGTTCCGAGTAAGGTGGTTTTATGTAGAGTCAAAATGTTGTTGTTGTTGTTGTTGTTGTTGTTGTTGTTATTATTATTATTATTATTATTATTATTATTATTATTATTATTATTATTATATAAACCCAGTTGATAAGAACAAGTTGCAGATTCTATATCCCTGAACTGTACTGTACATCTGCTATGCCATTAAGAGTTGGGATGTCATACTGATGTTGTATATCCTAAAGCATCAATAATGAATTTGTCAACAGTTTTGCTTCCTGTGCCATAATAGTAAAAGAGAGGTGCACTTGATAAATTTGAAAAGAGATCTAGTGCTATGACAGAATAGATACAATGTATCTTTATACATTATATTATGTATTATATGCATCATATTAGCCTAGCAGTTAAGATGCTGGGCTTGTTGACCAGAAGGTTGGCAGTTTGAGACCCAAGCACCAAGTGATGGGGGTAAAATACTTATCAGTGATTCTCAAAGCATAATCCTTAGACAACCGGTGCTCTGCCTCAGTTTTTCCACATTCACTGACCAGAACCTGTTCCTGACCAGCTGCCTCCTGTTGCACACTAGGTGAGACTTGTGTCCAAAACATAATTTCAAAGGGCCCTTGAATAGGAATAGAAAGCATACACTTATGGAGCTATATTCATTATTTTAGAATAGGAAATAAGAAACATATACATGTGGAGCTATAATTTTATTCTCACAAATCATCAGTTCCTATGCTTTTAGAAAGTCAAAATCATGGGAGGCAATGTTTAATTTGGAGATCTCCACATTTTCTGAATC